GAAATACCGGGCCCTGGAGCTGTAGTTAGGAGCATAGTTCTTGGCAGTGTTCTATTCCCAGTTGTCCCCCCTGTGCCCTTTTCATTTAGAATATTCTAACATTTAAACTTGGAATGTTGCAACTTGCTTTCAAAGTATTTTTACAGTTCAAAAAAATGTATGTTTTTCTTTCTCTAAGAAAGTAGTTACTTCACCCCGTTTAGAGCATTATTATGGACGTTTTACGTTATCACTGACGTGGTTCAAATGATGCGTTTGCGACAAAGCAACTAGTTTTGGGAAACACTTCTCACTACATCAATCTTTTCCCAAACGATGCATCGTACTATGATAGAGCAGTCACGAGTTACCAAACTATTATCTAAATATTATTGACCCCCCCAGTGGTGAATCATTGAAGTCAAATGACATAATTGTAACCTATTCAGGGATTCACCACTAGAGGGCGATTTGAGTGAACTCGCACAATTTATGTGCGTTTAATGGTGTTTCAGATTGCCCCCTCATGGAGCACCAGTGATTTAAAAAAAAAAAAAAAAAAAGTTTGTTTCAAAAGTGTAGTGACATAGCGAAGCCGATTGGATATGCACTCCAAACCACTGATTCAGTGGAAGAAGAAAAAGATTTGTAAAGGTTTTCAAAGTTTCATGCCTACAGTGCAAAATCTGCATAAACAGTCAGTGTGTGTGTTGTGTTTGCGTACACAGGTGTTTCTCTGCAGACATACCTGCCGGACATAAAGGATCTTCTGCAGGAAGACGAGCTGGAGAGTCTCAAATCAAAGCCATACTTCGAGTTCCTCCTGCGAGCCAATTACGAGCACTACCTGAAAGTGCAGATATGATGCGTGTTTCCTTGTTAATATTCCAACTTTTTGTAAACATTTTTTGTTTCATAATTAAAACAATTACATGATCCAACACTTTCTGAATAAACTGTATTTCTGTATGTGATGACTGATTGTTTTTTTTTTTTCAAGACATTAATAGACTAATTAAGGCATGTTGTTGCCGACCAAATGGAGATTGTTGGGTTTTATGGCTTCAACCAGAAGTTGCTGAGACTTTTATTCCAGTATGTTGATGCACTTCCAACTTAAGCGGAATATTGAGTAGGTAGGCGGAGCTATCTACTGTGCATCATTCTCTCATAGCGAAATAATGATAAGAGAGTGTTAATATGCAGTTGCTATGGAAACCCCTTTAGGCTGACGTCAACCAAGGGACCCCCACTCCAAACATGGAAGTAAATGGTCAGACTTTAATTGTAGATTACCAAAAACAAACACATTTTTTTCAGTGGATAAACTTTTTCAAATTAATTTTTCACTTTAGGAATAACAATGTGAGCTAGCAAAATAAACATGATAAATTTTTATTTCAAGTGACTTCATAGGGATAGTTTCCATAATTTTTTTTATTCTGTTATCCTCCACTTTCACAAACCTGTTTTTTTTTTTTTTTTTTTTTTTTCGCTTCTGGTAAACACAAATGAAGATATACTCAAGATTGCTGGGAGGAAAAAAGCCATTAATGTCTATGGTGAGAACAAAAAATACATTAATTTTTTCCCCCCTGAACATTCTTTAGTATATCTTCAGTAGTGTTCATTAGTACATTTATTGTTATTTTACAGACTTATTTCTCTATATATGATTATATTATTTTAAACTACTAAAATATCTATAAAAGTCACTTTGTTAAACTGCAGAGTTGAATTTTCAATAGCAAAAGTGGACAGAGCAGAGATCAACATCCCATAATACAACTCAAAACAGTAAATAAACAGAAAACATCACAAAATAAGGTAACTCTTAATTACCGGGGCAAGATTAGGGATGTAAAATAAGATCCTACTTTAACCACTAAATCTAATAATAACAGGCAGGTAATGCGGCAGTAGTAAATAGTGTGAATTGTTAGCCTTTTGTTTAGACACTCATCTGTTGTTTCCCCTCCAGCAGCTGGTACAAGGAGCAGCTGAACTGATGCAGAAACAAACGTCTCCTAAAAATAGGGGAGGGAGGGTAAAATTAGTGAACTTTACGGGGGTCCTCGGACACCCTATATGGGGAAGGAGCCGCTGCAATCCCAGAAGACACTAAATAAACTGACGGCAACCGGAGGAGGAGGAAATGTGACACTGGGTTGTTTGTGCCACTTGGCTAGACCTTGGCATCAAACGTATATCAGAGATGCCTGAAGGGTCAGGACTGTCACTGTAATCATTGTAATATCCTGTTCCTGCTTATTAAAAGCTTGGGAGGTTTAATGGTGATGAGTGGCTCTTCTTATATTGTTGGTCATTAGTGATGTGTTTGCAATGATTTTATAATGTACACTGTAAAACATTTCTTAGGTGTTTTTTGTTTATTTACAGTTGTGAATTGCATTATGGGATGTTGATCTCTGCTCTGTTGACTTTTGATGTTGAAATTTCAACTACAGTTTATCAAAGTGACTTTTATTATGACATTTTAGTAGTTTGAATAATATAATGTATAAGAAATCATATATCAGGGATTCTGCAGGTTTCATAAAGTCAAATTTAAGATCTAAAGGCCGTTATCAATGACATTTAAGACTTATACAGGGATAAACTCTTTTTTTTCTGATGGAAAGGGAAAAGATTTTTACTATCCTCATTAAAGGATAACATAACAACAACATATTAACATAACACTTATGTCATAACAAGCCTCTCCAGGTCAGTGTCCTCACCATAAATGAATTACTTTTAAACAAATGCTATTGTAAAGAATATAACTATATTGATGAATACTAGTTAAAAACTGTTTGTTAAAAGTTTGTTGAGATGGATTGTTGGTGATTGTATGATTTCAGCCTGAATGAGTAGCTTTGCATTGGAAAATTACGACCTGTTTAAAATGATTTAAGAGCTATAACACAATATTTTGGTAAATTTTAAAACTTTTTAAGGCCTAAAATTTTGTTTTAGGAATTTAGGACCTTGCTGACAACCTGATATATGGAGAAATAGGTCTGTAAAATTACAGAAAATGTACTGGCAGTTTATTACAAGGCTTTTGTAGCGTATGTATGTATATGTATTATGTTTATATATATATATATATATATATTCACGTATAAGACAATATTTCACTTTAAACTATTAAAACTATTAATATTTAAGCTTAAAAGTTGTTGAAAGAAAGATCAAGGTCCCACAATGCAAATCGAAAGCATAAATAATCAGGGAAAAATCATAACGCAAATCCCAAAATACAGAAAGCTGCTAATTTATGGACATATTTTTTTACAGTGAAGTATTATTACATAACGCACATAAATACATTGCCGTTTCTCCTTTTAAAGGCCTAATATGGTGGCTGTGTAAAAGGGAAAATGAAAATGTACTCCTTGTTTACTCATCACATATTTCCAAAAACCTTTATACATTTCTTTATACTGTCGGACACAAAAGAAGATATTTGGAGGAAAGCTGAAAACCTGCAACCTTTGACTTGCATGGTAGGGAAAAAATACTATGCAAATAATTTTTTACAGGTTTCTAACATTTTTCAAAATATATTTTTCTGTGGGTTTAACAGAAAAAAAATTAAACTTAAAGGTTTGTAACAAGTGAAGGGAGAGTAAATGACAGAATTTTGGGTGAACTACCCCTTTAAGTTAAAATTGAGTTAAACAAAGCACTCAAGGAATCTTTTTAATATGTTGTTTTCCTTCATCCTTTTTTTAGACATGAAGCTTCTGCATCTGTGGCTTTCTAAGGAAGAGGAAGAAATAGCTATCCAACAGACTGTCCACAACCCACAATAATTAATGCTGGTTATTGGCTAGACACTTCATAGACTGCCTGGTTTACCTGACCTTACCCAGTTTTTTACATTGAAAATACTGAAACTTTCTATATGACACGTGACCACAAAACAAGCCATAAGTGTGTGTATACAGCTTAAGTAAGAATTATTAGCCCCCGATGATTTTTTTTCTTTTTTAAATATTTCCCAAATAGTTTAACAGAGCAAGGAAATTTTCACAGTATGTCTGATAATATTTTCTGGAGAAAGTCTTATTTGTTTTATTTCAGCTAGAGTAAAAGCTAATTTTTTTAAGAACCATTTTAGGGTCAAAATTATCAGCCCCTTTAAGCTATCTTTTTTCCTGATAGTCTACACAACAAACTATCACTTTAGAAATGTGTTTAAAAAATGTTCTCTCCGTTTAATAGAAATTGGGGAAAAATAATCTAATAATTAGTCTAATAATTTAAGTGGGCTAATAATTCTGACTTCAACTGAATATATATAAAAAATTAGATTTATACATCATCTGAAACCTGAATAAACTATTGATGTATGATTGTGTGTGTGTGTGTGTGTGTGTGTGTGTGTGTGTGTGTGTGTGTGTGTGTGTGTACACAGTATTTATGTAACTTATCAAATTAAGTTAGAACATGATTAACATAGTTTAATAAGTTACAATGATGAACTAAAACATATGCTAATTGATCATATATACTAATTGATCATATATATATTTTAGTATATATATAGCATTTTACCTAAAGACTAAACACTACAGTATACATATATTTTAAGCCTACATGTAAATTATAGATGTATATATGTTAATACAAGCTGTTATATTGGATATGATTAATTTTTTGACAGCGCTATAGTTAAAATTACCACTACTATACTAATCTTCCAGCAAAGAAGTTGTGTTTTCCTAATGGTAAACAATCATAACCCACCCACTGTCATGCCCTTATTTTGAAATGCTGTCCACAGACATCCAGTGTGGGCTCCTGTGTCCACTGGTGGCCCCGGACTCCCTTACACGGGCCTGCACCGCCCGCCGTGCTTTGGGGTCCATATATGGAGCGTCCCGCGCGCCCGGAACTCGACCCACCAACACCCAAATATGGACGAGGATCGGCAGGAATTCCGTTTGAATGCATTGACATTCCTTAATGGTTGTCCGAAGAGCAATAAAAGCAGAGGACGGGTTTGTGTATATATATATGTGATGAAGGTTTAAGCAGGTCACTGTGTGTAGCGGGAGCGCTTCAGCTTTACTTCAGGACTCACGAGAACGAGCAGAGGCAGGTAAGAGCGCGCAGCCGCGGGAACGCGCACCCGCATTAATGAATTTGAATGAGAAGCGGACGCAGTATTAACAGCTACTAGCGATTTATAAACATTTATAATGATGTAAATGTGAATATTGAATGCTAAATCGATTGTAAACTGCTTGTTCTGTTTTAATTCGCTTCAATTAACAGATCTAGTGATGTTAGAGTAAACTTTTCTCGGTAAATCTTAAAGGGATGGCTTAATGTTACCTGAAAATGTGCAATACCACTCAATGTTGACTTGTAACTAGTAGCTGGTGGCAAAATGTCCTGTTTTGACTTGATTTGCGCAAAAAATGAAATGTATACAGGTTGAAAACAACTTGAGGGTGAGTAAATAAACTTACCATTTCAAAAATACAATTTTTCTAAAACTATAATTTTTAAATGACTAAATGTTAAAACAGTCTAAACTATAAGCATCAAAAACATCCAAGTGTTTATTTATCTATTTAATTTGTAGTTAAGCAGTACTGTGATTATGTTAGTATATAGTATGCAACTGATTACAACTTGGTTGGCTATTTGATGATATTCTAAAAATGGAAATACAAATCATATTTAGCAATATTAACAACTATTCTCTTCTTTTTAATTAAAATTCAATGTACATATGTAGTATATGGCATTAAATGTACATATTTTAATATCTAAGTAATGCAGTCTGAACTATCATAATCCAACTCACTGAATAACCAAATAAACACAATATCAATTAAATTTTTATATATTTTTTTATTAAAATTCTGAAATATTATAATGCTGAAATCATTGAATCAGCAATGCACACTTATTTATGTTAGTATATAATATGCAATTGATTGTTGATTATCTGACAATATTGCTGCTAATGGCAATACAAATGGAAAGACTAATATTTGATATAATTAGCCAACTGAATAAACAATTGTAATCTAAAGCACAGGTGTTAAACTCAATTTCTCTAGGGCTGTATCTCTACACAGTTTAAATCCAACCCTTATTAAACACACCTGATCAAACGAATTGGGTCCTTCAGTTTTGTTTATAGCCTGCAGGTAAAGTGTGTTGAAGCAGGGTTGGAACTAAACTGTGCAGGGCAGCAGCCCTCCAGCAACTGAGTTTGGCACCTCTGATCTAAAGGGAAAGTTCACCCAAATGAAAATTTACTATTTACTCTCCTATAAGTGGTTGTACACCTATACGAGTTTCTTTCTTCTGTTGAACACAAAAGAAGACATTTTGAAGAATGCTGAAATCTGTCACCATTAACATCCATAGTAGAAAAAAAACACATACATTTTCAGAATTTTTGGGAGAACTATTCCTTTAATGACTTAGTTAAACAGTAACCCATTGTGAACTGAACATTTTTAAGATGCTTGGTTAAGATAAAGTAATCAATTCTCAGCAAATTACTATCTGGGTTGGATATATGCATATAGACTTTTAATTTTCAGTAAGTCAGTTCAAGCGCTTCCTGTACAAATTCAACACGTTTAAGATCTGATTTCTTTAAAAATCAAGCATCTTCACTGCCTGATAGAGATACGATATAAAGTGAGTCTCAGACCGGACAGGAATCACTGCATTAAATTACATTGATCTGTGCCATCTCTTTAAAATATGAAAATGTATTTTACCACAGTATTTTCAATGGAGTTTCAGCGCTTGCCTGCTGCTTCTGAAGACGCTTTTGTTTAAGTGTTTTTTATCTTGTTTTACACATGAACAGCTGAATGAATGCTTAAGTCTATTTACCTGATTATATTTGAATTACATCACAACATCGATGCTGTTAAAGAAACCATATGAAATTGAAAATAGTCACATAAACCGTTTACCGGAAGTTTATCAGTGGCTGAAAATCATTAGCTGTGCATATATAGACCATTTTTAATGAAGTTTGTGTGGATTTGTTTTCTCACCTGCCTTGTCTGTTTGTAGAACCCATCAAGATGTGTGACGATGATGAGACCACAGCTTTGGTGTGCGACAACGGATCAGGCCTGGTCAAGGCTGGTTTCGCCGGAGATGACGCCCCTAGAGCCGTCTTCCCATCCATTGTCGGCCGCCCGCGTCACCAGGTAAAATCCTGAAATATGAAATAAAGGTCTCGTGAAGTGCTTTGAAATGTGCAATTTTAATTCGATGTTTGACATAGACTTAACTGAAAAATGAAGAGAGTGCAGGGCAAAGAGTTGCTCCTCCCCTTTTTAAAAAGCAGCCAATAGCATTTTGTTTTTCTCACAGCTCTGCCAGTGAGAGTAGTTGAGCTCAAGCGCATTAAATGAAAAGCAAATAAGAAGTGTCTTGAAGATGGGTCAGATGATTTAATGAGAGTTAATGAGATTTATTGAGAAACTGAAGTATGAGGTGATGTCAAAAAAATCACCTATCCATTTAGTCCAGGGGTGTCCACACTCGGTCCTGAAGGGCCGGTGTCCTGGAGAGTTTAGCTCCAACCCTAATCAAACACACCTGAACAAGCTAATCAAGCTCTTACTAGGTGTACTAAAAACGTCCAGGCTGGTGTGTTGAAGCAAGTTGGAGCCAAACTCAGCAGGACACCGGACCTCCAGGACCGAATTTGGACACCCCTGATTTAGGCGAAGGTGGCAAACTGCAAGCTTAGGATGTTTTTATCAGTTTTACAACTTCTAAATGCAAGTTGTGTCATCATTTTGGAGCAAACTAACTTATAGATATCCTTAAAACTAACAGACAAATACTAACATCTAAACAGTTTTATTTTTATTTCATGGGACCTTTTAAAGCTTTGAATAAGACAGACAGACAGAGAGACAGACTTTATTAATGCCCGGAGGGAACTTTAGTTTTTACTTTACTATATAAAAAAAAATATATATATAATGAGAATAAATATTACACTCTAAGTTCATTATTTAACTGAGGAATTATAGTTTTACTGAAACTAGTTTGACTGAACGTGCTCCTGTTCTCTCAGGGATCATGAAACCGAGTTTTCAAGAATTAAGACAAAATCTGAATTTACCGTAAACACATTTCCTAAGCATCTTCAAAGTAGAAACTGTATTAATATTAATTATTAACAACTTCATCTTTTAAAACAATGTTGAAGACGTATTTTTACTCCCAAGATTTTAATTGCTTCATGTTTTTGTATCAGTTTTATTCTCGTTACCCTCACTCCAACCAAAACGTGTCCAAGTGTTGGTTAAAGTGTCAAAGAGATGAAAGAGTGTGATTCCTGCAGGTGGTTTTTCAAGCCCACTCACCTATGTGAGGCACACTCAGAATTGTATAATGTTTTGTGGTTGTAGTGTGGTGTAGTGTTTCTGATGAGATCCCGTGTTCCTCCAGGGTGTGATGGTTGGTATGGGTCAGAAAGACTCCTACGTTGGAGACGAGGCTCAGAGCAAGAGAGGTATCCTGACCCTGAAGTACCCCATCGAGCATGGCATCATCACCAACTGGGACGACATGGAGAAGATCTGGCACCACACCTTCTACAATGAGCTGCGCGTGGCCCCTGAGGAGCACCCAACACTGCTCACAGAGGCCCCACTCAACCCCAAGGCTAACCGCGAGAAGATGACCCAGATCATGTTTGAGACCTTCAACGTCCCCGCTATGTATGTGGCCATCCAGGCTGTCCTGTCCCTCTACGCCTCTGGCCGTACCACCGGTAAGACTCAAATTGAAAGAATAGTAATTATATGATTATGTAACCCAGCGGACACCTTGGTGTCAAAAAAAACACGTCACAAATGCTGATCGAAAACTCTGATGTCCATTCAAACATGCTTACTGTTGCTCTGGCTGACTGATTTCTTGTTCTTGTTGTTAGGTATTGTGCTAGACTCTGGTGATGGTGTGACCCACAATGTGCCTATCTATGAGGGTTACGCTCTTCCTCATGCCATCATGCGTTTGGACTTGGCTGGTCGTGATCTGACAGACTACCTGATGAAGATCCTGACTGAGCGTGGATACTCTTTCGTCACAACTGGTGTGTGTCTCCACATTTTTACTGCTATTTGAGCCATTTGCTTGCAATGAACCAATTTTTAAGATCTGTGTAGATTCCATGTGGGCCTAGATATAACAACCAAACAATCTGTGCATCGGTGTGTTTAGCCTGCCGATAACCAAAAATTGTCATTCATTGTCTAAAACAGCTGAGCGTGAGATTGTCCGTGACATCAAGGAGAAGCTGTGCTATGTTGCCCTGGACTTTGAGAATGAGATGGCCACAGCCGCCTCCTCATCCTCCCTCGAAAAGAGCTACGAGCTTCCTGACGGTCAGGTCATCACCATTGGTAATGAGCGTTTCCGTTGCCCTGAGACCCTCTTCCAGCCTTCCTTCATTGGTATGTTGTCTGAAAACATCGAACGTCATCAGTTGCCTTGCGTTTTAGGCCTGTACACTGAAAAAAATCATTCAAAGATGATTCCTTGGATTTACTCAATTTTTTTACGTTAAGTTGTTGTAAACAATTTATTTGCGCTGAATTTAAACAAACAAATTAAGTTGAACATTATTAAACTTAATTTGTTTGTTTAAATTCAACACAAATAAATTGTTTGCAACAGTTTTGCATGCAACACTTTTTTCAGTGTAAGTAACCATTTGCTGTTCTCAAATCACAGGTATGGAGTCTGCTGGCATTCACGAGACCACTTACAACAGCATCATGAAGTGCGACATTGACATCAGAAAGGACCTTTACGCCAACAATGTACTCTCCGGTGGTACCACGATGTACCCTGGTATTGCTGACCGCATGCAGAAGGAAATCACAGCTTTGGCTCCAAGCACAATGAAGATTAAGGTAACAGAGACGTGAAATAGTAGAGATTAGAACAGGGAAGTGTGCTTTCAAAGTAAAGGCTGATTTATACTTCTGCGTCAAACACCGGCGTATGCTACGGCGCTGACGCATAGCCCTTCGACGTGGCCATCGGCGTCGCTGACGTGCACCTTTCAAAAAATGTAACTACACGTCGCAACGACGCGTATCGCAAGCTCTGTGATTGGTCGGCTTGGTAGCACTGACGAGTCTGGGCGGGACCGAGAGCCGCGCGAATGGCGCGAGCGATTGTTTACCAGTGTGGAGTCCCGTGAAGGAGCTCCGGATGGAAAGTTTTGTTTTGTGTTTACCTCATAGTTAAAGTTGTACATCCAGGAAGTGTTCAGGAAAAGCAAAACAAAAGCGAAGAAACTCGACACAGAGGAACATTTACACCTCACTGCCAACTAGCGTTTTGGAAATGTTAATGCAGACCAACAGAGACAGCGCGCAGAAGTATAAATGCACAGCTGCGCGCGTTGCCTGCGCCGTGAGTTACGCCGGTCACTTGACGCAGAAGTATAAACCAGGCTTAACAGGGTTCCCACGGGACATTTAATGAATAACATGAAATAAAAAAAAAGTATTCCCAATGTTTTAAGTGAGGGATTTATTATATTTTTGTCAAAGTAATGGCATACCAGGGATATTTGTTTTGCTTTAAATTTTAGTTAGCATTTATCAAAATGTATTTTTCTATACAGTACATGCTTTTGCTTATTGTTTCGTTAAAAAAAAACAAAAATTTTAAAAGTTACAGTTTAACATGGCTCAGTGGGTTGCACCATCACCTTATAAGGTTGCTGGTTCGAGTCAGTTAGCATTTCTGTGTGTAGTTTGCATGTTCTCCCCGTGTCATCAGAGGGGAAAAGCCCCACCCATTAGTGATGCTCTCTTCCAGCACACAACATCATACTTACTCCCAGGGCTCCCCAACCTCGAGGACCAGAACATACAGACATGCACTACGGAAAATTTAGCTTATGCAATTTCCCGATAGTGCATGTCTTGGGACTTGTGGGGGAAACCCACGCCAAGATGGGAAGAACTTGGTAACTCCACACAGAAATGCCAACTGACCCAGTCGGGGTTAGAACCAGCAACCTTCTTGCTGTGAGGCGACAGTGCTACCCATTGTGCCACTGTGCCACCACACAACATCATAAGACATTAATAATAGGTTAAATTTAAGCCGTGACATCTGGTGACCAAAATTCAATGTCCAGCCAGCATCTAAGGACATTATTATTTTGGCGTCCAATAATTACGTCAAATGACGTTGATATTTGGTTGATTTTAGGTTGTGTTAGAAAGTGAGCAAAATCTAATGTCGAGCCAACATCCTATATCAACCTCATATTAACGTCAAAAACTGACATTTATTTGTCAGATATGGCAACCAAAATCAAACGTCTGAAAGACATCATAGTGGTAACGTCCACACTACATCAAGCTGTTGACGTAAACCCAATTTTCACTTCCAAACAAAACGCAGCGTCAATTTCAATAGTATCTGGATGCAGCCTGTATGATGCAAGCTGAGACTGCATCACTCAGCGATGCAATGTCAGACACAATGCACTCAAATGGAGCTAGTGACATCACTGTGACGGGTAGGGTCAGGTGAGCCCATTAAAAAGCATTGGATGCAACACAGATTGCACTGCACCGGGTCTGCAGCCAGACCCCTATTGTCAGTTTGACGTCATTTTGATGTTCTGTCTCTGCTGGGTTCCTTCAATAGCATAGGATGTTAGGCTTGTTTTTAAATCTGCCACTATGCTGACACATAGGCATTTGTAGCTTCTCTTTTGAAAAGAGCACAATCTCGTCATTGAATTTAAAACAACCAAAATTACACAATTAGGTTCAAAGCCAAAAAATAGTCAGTTTCAAAGTTACTAAAAACAATATTTATGGAATGTTTGGAGCTGAAACATTCCATAAATGTGCATGCACACTCTACATATTTTACATGCACACTCTAGGGATATCAGAGACTTATTTTAAATCTTATACAACTAAAAGGTCACCTTTGAAGTGGGAACCCTAAAGTAAAAATGTTTACTTTTCCCCAAAACAGCTCATGTGTTGACGTGCACACAAATTGGTTTTCTAAGTATTACTTGATCTCTTCCTCCTCTATAGATCATTGCTCCCCCTGAGCGCAAATACTCAGTCTGGATCGGCGGGTCCATCCTGGCTTCTCTGTCCACTTTCCAGCAGATGTGGATCACCAAGCAGGAATACGACGAGGCCGGCCCTAGCATCGTGCACCGCAAATGCTTCTAATCACACGATTCAACATCCTATCATTGCCTCCTGCTCAGGAATTAATCATCGATTCCTTGCTCCTGTGGACAGATTTACTACAGCGATGACATAGGGGCGAGCTTTAAAAGCATAAACTGAAAAAAAGACACTAGCATCAAGGGACAGCAGAAATACCAAGCGCTCTCATTGCACACAACTGTATTTATTACTGACTTCCATGGCTTGGTATTTTGGTGGATGCTGTTTAAAAGAAACGACAAGGACTCCAGCTCCCTAATAGATTCCAGTGCCATACGTTCCACTGTACACTGATGACCAACACTAATCTCACTTCAACAGACAAATAAAACTGAACATGTATTTTTAAACATTGTGTTTGTCCATTAATGTTATTTCAAAACACACACTGAGACAGACTAAACAACACCGACACAACCTCTCAGATGGTTTATAGACTAATTGCACAGTAAGAAGTCTTGTTGTGTCTGTAACTTGACATCTATAAACTATTATGGTTGTTTATAATGGAAGATGAATGTGTGGGACAATTAATTAAACAGTCCAAAGACATGCGGAACAGGTGAATTGGGTAGGCTAAATTGTCAGTAGTGTATGAGTGTGTGTGTGTGTGTGTGAATGTTTCCCAGAGATGGGTTGTGGCTGGAAGGGCATCTGCTGCGTAAAAAACTTGCTGGATAAGCTGGCGGATCATTCCGCTGTGGCAACCCTGGATTAATAAAGGGACTAAGCTGACAAGAGAATGAATTAAATGCATTTGGTTGTCCAGTGTAATTGGAATGTCCATGTCAAACAATAAATAAACTGTCATGCGCATGCGCTGTATAGTCTTATCAAGTAGCGAGAGGAATGTAGTAGACTATGTGACTGTCACCTGTTACAACTGGCATTGTCGTGTAAATTATATATCGTTTACAGGAGAATAAAACAAATAGTTAACATCCTCCACCACCCTCTGCAACAAAGAAGGTGATTATAATGAAGTTAGGATCAATTAAACGGTATATTGGATTGCGAATGCATACTTGCGCATCAAGTCCTCAGTCAGGAATGATGCTCTGCGCATGCGCATTGTAAATCGCCAAAGCTAGAATATCAGCGAGAGGGTTGTTTTTCTACTACGCAGCAGGCGCTCAGCAATGGACAGATGCATTTGTAATTCGTAAGGATGTAAGCAACACAATGCAGACATTCCTCAATCGATAAAGCCCACGGAAACGGATAAGAAAGAGAGGGTAAGTTTAAAGCGCTTACATTTATCCGAGACAGTGTTTACCTACATACTCAAAGCAGACCTGTAAACAGACTGCGCTGACACTACAGACGCTTTTATTAATCCAATAAATAAGCCAATCGTACTTAAATAATTTGTTAATATAAAAAACAAAAACAAACGGAGTGTATAATTGAAAGCATATGGTTATTTTTTTGAACAAGCTTTTAAAAATGCGATATAGATTCATCACGATTTATTAATAAACACGATAAAGGTGTATTAAAGACGTCCCGAGACATAAGAAATGTCCCTTTTGAAAGATCGGACGTGACATCGGCTTATGTATTATGTAAAGAATATAAATAAATAATGTGGGCACTGGGCTGTAACCTGCCGTACCGTAGATCTGGAATAACACAACACACTCCACTGTGCACGGTAAGGCATGTGCAATAACAAAATAAGCCATACATTATAGCTACTACGAAGGACAGATGGTGATTGATTTGCGCGTGCGCATATTGACTTGCACTTGACACTTCATTATCATGCTCATTCCGCAGGTGACCAATTGACTCAGGAGAAATGTCTACCAATAACAACATGATGTCCAAGAAGACAGAGTACATGAAGAAGTACAGGGAGCCAAAATGGGAGACCTTCTCGAAATCTTATGAGGACTCTCTGAAATACAGACTTACGCGGAGGTTGATGGAGCAAACACACAGACCCTTTTTCGCTGAGGGATGGGACAGCGGGTCAGACTCAAGCGCAACGTCCAGTCCCAAACACCAAGAGGTGAACGTCCCAAATGCCAAACACTACATATCCTCATCGGAGTCCAAGAACGAGACTGCAGAAGTTTTGAACTCCTGGAAACCGCAGGTGAATGGAGAAGTGCACACAGACTCTAGTGCAACCTTGGAAAGCGCTGCTCGTCTGGGTAGGTTTCAGTTCTTGATCTCATCACCTTTAAAGGGAGCTTTTATGCCAGAATCACTTTTATACAGTTGTGTGATTATATCCAGCCTCTAATGGTAAAATGAATTAATATTATTTTTTATAATCACAATTGATAAAAGCAGTCTGCAGAAACACTTTGATTGACATTCTCCCTTTATACATGTTATTAGAAGGGGAAAGCCCCGCCCACTAGTGACGATCTCTCTCTCATTAGCATAGAAGAGTTGTCTTGTTTGTGAATCTGCCACTATGCTGACACGCAGGCATTAATAGCTCCGCCCTTTTTTGAAAAGAGCACAATCTCATTTGAATTTAAAGTGACACTCACCAAAATTAAAGTGACACTCCACAATTACGATCGAAGCCTAAAAGGGTCCGTTTCAGGAAGTTATAAAACATTATTTGTGTGATATTTTTAGCTGAAACGACACAAAGTTTCACACACCCTAGACAGAAAAGACTTATTTTAAATTTTCTAAAATTGGGGGTATAACAGGTCCCCTTTAAATTTGCATAAATTAAAATTTTACAGGTTTTATTTTAATAGTGCGCTTTGTTGAACAGTTAAAAACATTGTTAAAAACATTGTGCGCATTGTTGAACAGTTTTGCTTATCTGTAATCAAAATCTGACCATTTACTTACGCTCTGCAATAGGGTAAATGCAGAAGTATGCGGAAGGACTTTTAATTTGTCAGTAACCTGGGTCAAGAGCTTCTGGTGAACTGTATGCCATTACAAAATTGGCGTGTTTAAGGCCTTTTTTATTTAAAAATCAGCAATCTCCACTGGCTGAGTCATATCAATATAAAGTGGGCCTCAGATTGTACAAAAACACTGCATTAAATTACATTTCCCTGCCATGTCTTTAAAATATGAACATTTATTTTACACCAGTATATTCAATGGAGTTCTGCACTAGCCTGCTAATCCTGAAGATAAACCACTTTTCATCTGGTTTTACGCTTAAGCAATTAAAAGAATGCCAAAGTCTATTTAGCTGATTATATTTTAATTACATTACAACATTGATGCTGTAAAACAAGCGTGTCCAAACTCAGTCCTGGAGGGCCGGTATTCTGCATAGTTTAGTTGAAATTTCCTTCAACACACCTGCCTGAAAGTTTCTAGTATACCTAGAAAGAGCTTGATTAGCTGGTTCAGGTGTGTCTAATTGGGGTTGGAACTAAACTTCGCAGGACTCCAGCCCTCCAGGACCGAGTTTGGACATCCCTGCTGTAAAAGGAGCCGTATAAAATGGAAAAAAAAATCATATTAACTGTTCACCGTAAGTTTATCAGTATGGGAACTTGGGAAGAAACACTTGCTCTGCATATACTCTACGACAGTCCTTCACTGATGATGCCAGTTTGATGGATTGGGCTAAATATGCCTAGCCACGCCTGTCAAACCGTTAGTTTGCTTTAAGCGAAAGATGAGAGGAGGATCAAACCAATAAAACCCTGCCCCCTACTCAATATTCAGGTTCAGATGCATAAATGTCATCATACTGAAATAACATTATGCAACTTACGGTTCGTTTCCCAGAGATGGGTTGCGGCTAGAAGGGCATCCGCTGCATAACAACTTGCTGGATAAGTTGGCGGTTCATTCCGCTGTGGCGATCCCGGAATAAATAAAGGGACTAAGCCGACAAGAAAATGAATGAATGAACTTACGGTTCAAGGGCGACACGGTAGCTCAGTGTTTAGCACTGTTGCCTCAGAGCAAGGTCACTGGTTTGAGTCCCGGCTGGGCCAATTGGCATTTGTGAATGCAAAAGTGCATGGGTTGTGCCTAGAAGGTCATCCCCTGGCTTAAACATATGCTAGAATAGTTGGTGGTTCATTCTGCTGTGGCGACCATTGATAAATCAGAGACTAAGCCGAAGGAAAATGAATGAATGGATGAACTTATGGTTTATGAGGATTATAAAATTTATATGAAACCTAAATTTACAATGTTTATTTTGCGAGGGTTTAGCTCCAACTTGCCTCAACACACCTGCCTGGGTGTTTCAAGTATACCTTGTAAGACCTTGATTAGCTTGTTGAGGTGTGTTTGATTAGGGTTGGAGCGAAAAATTGCAGGACACCGGCCCTACAGGAACAAGTTTGGTGACCACTGCTTTAGGTGAACAATTAATCCATGCAACTTAATCCACTGAACAATTTTTTTTATTTAGGTATTCTTCAATCAACCTTTAACCATTTGCATGCGCGTTTGGATTGGCTCCTTCTTTGTTGATGTCAGTTTGACATTTCAGCCACAATATTCTTAGCCACGCCCCTCTTACTAAGAAAGAATGATGTGCAAAAATAAGCCCCGCCCCCAACTCAATATTCAATTTCTGTTGGAAGTACATCAACATGCTGAAATAAGTCTCAGCAACTTCAAGTTCACACAGACTTTAAGACGACTGAAATACGAATGATACATTGATCAATGAGATATAAACAAACAGGACATGACGTAAGAAGATTTGGTTTAGTCCAGAACACGACAGCTAAGTTCTCTGGCAAAATATGCTATAAAAGCAGTTATCATGTGTGTATGTGTGTGTAACATTTTTTTGTTTTGGACAAAATGAACCAAGAGAACTAAGCTGCAAGTGTGAATGAATGCACCCTGAGTTTCACTTTCTCCATTTATGAATTGAATGAAACCTTGATATAAAGACACTCATTTTGCTTATATCACAGAAAATGGTTACAAAGCTGTGACTAGCAACGGACCGTCAGAATCCTTTCCAAAGCGGCGTCAGAGACACCGGGCGCCCCGTTCAGAGCCGTGCTACCCTAATAAAGATCTGGATAGCGATGAATCCCGAATATCAATATCAAGAAAGCCATCCAGGGCCAAGAGCCAACCTCCGGGCAACTCCAAGGAGAGGACGTCCAACCGCGAGAACAGACGGCCTTTTATCCGCTACGACTGGGCAGAAAGACACATCGAGACCAGGAGGACACCAAATATAAGAGCGTCTGTTTCTGCTGGAGAGGTGAGGCCTGCTGAAAACTGCAGCTTTCTGTAGCATTTACAAATATCTGTAGATGTTAATTGTTTGATTTTAGTAGACTTATTTTCTTTATTTGCTATTTTGTATATCTATACAGTTGAAGTCAGAATTATTAGCCCCCCTGTATATTGTTTTCCCAATTTCTGTTCAACACATTTCTAAGGATAATAGTTTTAATTACGCAATCTAATAACTGATTTCTTTTACCTTTGCTATGATGACAGTACATTATATTTCACTTGATATTTTTCTAGTATTTAGCTTAGGCTGCATTTACACTGCACTGTTCAAGTGACTCAATACCGATGGTTTTCTCCCATGTGGCACAGATCGGATTTGGCCCATGTACGTGAAAGCAGGAACAAATCACATGGATTCCGATTTACTCAAATCAGATTCAGAACTAATTCATATGTGGAAATGTATCCGATATGAATGTGATCGGTGTTCTCGTGTCTGCAGTATAAGCAGTTGATCGGATTTGACCTGTCAATGCGAGTCGCGCGTCATTAAAAAACCGTAGCAAATGACATCAAGTCTGACACTTTCCTTTCAGAACAGACTTCAGCAGAGTCTCAAACTTTAAATCTCATACACGAGGACTTAAACAGCTTTTATATTGTCAAATAGCACAGGCATTTAAGCATGTTAACGAGAGAGACAGTGCGCAATGTCTGCCACGTAACCAATATAAACTAATATAAAACTAGTGCATAACTACATCACACGCATAAATCACGCCATGGACATTACATTAAGATGCCTAAAGGTTAAAAAAAGCCTATATATCAAAAGAAGATGAACAAGTGAGAACCTTTCTGTCATAAACTATAGTAAAACAGCTTGTCAAAAGCTGCGAACAGATTACATAGAGGAATAGAGGAAAGAGCACTCTTTAATTATCAGCTGTTAGTCAGCGCCCGCTCTTTATTTTTCTTGGTCATTGCGCCTTTGCCGTGTGCTGTGTAAATGAACACGATCGGATTCGAGTCACTTTTAAAAGATGATGTAAGCAGCTCTGCAAAAAAAATCGGATACAGTCACAAAATCAGAATTGACCATCAAGATCTGCAGTGTAAATGCAGCCTTAAAGTGACATTTTTAAAAAGGTACCAGCGGGAAAAATCTTAAATGATTTATCAAAAATTTAACTGTAAAATCATATTTAACTTAGAATATATTGTGTGTGAATTTTATTTATTTTTGTCCTACATATTTGTGTAAGCAACTTTTTTTCGTAAATCAATTTTGTTTTTATCATGGACTATTTTCTGCATATCTATTTTTCCATGAAATAGCCATAAGTTGTAGATGTTTAGCTTAAAGTGACATTTAAAGGCTTAACTAGGTTAATTAGGCAGGTAAGAGTAATTAGGCAAGTCATTGTATAACCATTGTATGGTTTGTTCTGTAGACCAGTGGTTCTTAAACTGAGGCTTCCTCCTAGTGGTACGCGGAGGAATCAAATATGTCAAATGTACATACTACATATCTTTAAAACTGTGTAAAATAATGATTTATATATGAATATGATGACATGTAGCCTATATTTCTAGGTGTTGATAAATTAACTATGTTAATACTTTACAGGAGTTTTTTTTACTTTTTAAGAACAGTAACTTATCATTTTGAAATTTTAAAAACACAATTTTATTTAAATGTTGATGTTTTTACTTTTTTTTTTCTTTACATGTAAGTACACAACTTGTACAAAGCTCTAGCTGCTTTACTGGGCCCACTACACTTCTGTATTTCAATACTGCTCATTATGGTGGTACTTAATTTTTTTCTGAGGTGGTACTTGGTGAACAAAAGTTTGAGAACCACTGCTGTAGACAAATAAAAACAACTTTGCTTAAGGGGGCTAATAATATTGACCCTAAAATATTTTTTTTTAAATGAAAAACTGATTATATTCTAGCCGAAATAAAACAAATAAGACTTTCTCAAGAAGAAAAAATATTATAGGAAATACTGTGAAAAATTCTCTGTTCAACATCATTTAGAAAATACTTGATTAATAAAATAGTCACTGGAGGGCTAATAATTTTGGCTAAAACTAGTTTCAATATATATAATATATAAATAATTTCAACTATATATTTTGCTACATCTTTAAAAATATTGTGTAATTATTTTATATCTTTATATATTCTTGCAGACATTTATGATACATTTACACATTTCATGAAGATATTTAAAATTAATATTTGCAGTTACTTATATTTATCATGTTTTCTGGACAGATATAGATATATATTAAAATATCTATTTATTTATTTATTTGATGCTGTAGAGGTAGCCAAATATTAAAATTACTTTAATTCGCTAGTGTAGGTGTTACAAAATAGACCAAAATTGTAGCCAAATTTATCAAGTAATTTCTAAAAACTTTTTTGCCATGATGATGGTACATAATTTAGTAGTATTTACATAAATAAAATAATATTATTTTACTAGTTATTTTGCAAGATTCTACTATTCAGCTTTAAGCTCAAATTAAAGGCTTAACTACATTAACTAGGCAAGTCTAATATTTATTCATTTTCCTTCGGCTTAGTCTCTTATTCATCAGGAGTCACCAACTGCCAACTATTTCAGCATTTGTTTTATGCAACGGAAGCCCTTCGAGCTGCAACCCAGTACAGGGAAACACCCATACACTCTCACATTCACTCAAACACTACGGCCAATTTAGTTGATTCAATTTACCTATTGCGCATGTGTTTGGACTGTGGGGGAAACCCACACCAACAGTGGGAGAACATCAAATTCCACACAGAAATGCCAACTGACCTAGCCGGAGCTCGAACCGGAGACCTTCTTGCTGTGAGGCGACAGTGCTAACCACTGAGCTCTTTTTGCACTGTCAGCAATGATCACAAGTGTGTTTTGAAATAAATCATACATACAAAGAAGGACGTTTTGGAGCTACTAAACAGTGGTGGTGTACTAATCAGTGGAATGAAGGCGCGTGTGATATCTGACTCTGCATGTGGAAGCAGTGAATTATTCAGGATAGAGCGCTGATATACTTGAGCTGCGTCCAGATTACAGTCTCTGGTATACAAAAGGTTTAGTAGGTTAAACAAAGTGGATTATTAACTGTCTAGATTAGAAAACTCCAACTGAGTTGATTTAAGAGTGCCGACCAAGGTTATTTTAGTAAATGAAAACTAAAACAAGATGACACGGTGGCTCAGTGGTTAGCACTGTCGCCTCACAGCAACAAGGTCGCTGGCTCGAGTCCCGGCTGGGCCTATTGGCATTTCTATGTGGAGTTTGCATGTTCTCCCCGTGATGGCGTGGGTTTTCTCTGGGTGCTCTGGTTTCCCCCACAGTCCAAAGACATGCCGATAGGTGAATTGAATAAACTAAATTGTCTGTAGTGTATGAGTGTGTGAATGATTATGTATGGATGTTTCCAAGTACTGGGTTGCAGCTGGAAGGGCATCCGCTGCATAAAACATATGCTGGAATAGTTGTCGGTTCATTCCGCTGTGGTGACCTCTGATAAATAAGGGAATAAACCAAAGGAAAATGAATGAATGAATGAAGATAATTAATTATTATTATTGTTGTTATATTTTTTGTGTGTGGCCAGGAATTTGATGTTTTGCACTAAAAACATTCAATAAAATCATATTAAAAAATAATAAAAATAATAATCTAAAACGATGATTGAAACTAAATTAATGAATCAAACTAAAACTAATAATGTTTTTATATAGTATCAAAATAAATGCTAATTTCAAAATGTAAAGCTCTAATAACCCTGTTTCCAACAATATAAATAATCCTCAATCTACTTTCAGATTCATCGGGCCGACGTAGGCGTCCAGACACGAAGGGAGTCGAAAAAAAATGGGCGTGCGTCTGATCATTGGAGAGCGCGATCAGCTGACGTGGAGAAGAGCAGGAGGTCGGGGCTGAGTGTGGCGGACGAGCGCTGGATGACCGAGTACATGCGCTGCTTCTCCGCACGGCTGAGGTAGAGGCTGATCCAGGACCAGTTTATGTCTGTGGATTTTAAAGTGAAGCCACAGGTAACAGATCCTAAACCAGCACTAATGGACAATTACGGGAGAGACTGGCGACAAAAACTGAACTTAAGCATTCCTCTGAATTCAAACTCGTAACTCATATTTTTGATGCTGGCTACAATCACTTTCTCATGAATGCATGAAGGACCAAACATGTACGGTTGAAGATTAAATTATTTGCCCTTTTGTGAAATTTTCACCTTTTATCAAAAATGTCCCAAGTGCTGTTTAATACAGAGTTTTTTTCCATCACATTTTTAAACATAATAATTTTAATCACTAATTTCTAATCACTAATTACTGTTGTTTTTGCCATGATGAGAGCGTATTGACCTTATTCTAAAATGTGGAAGTGCGCCTGTTTTCGCGATTGTTTTAGAACTTCCGATTCAGTCGCCAGTGGGAAAAATGAAAAGGAATAATAAACGGCAGAAAACGGTCAAACTACTTGCTCTACAAACAAATGTTTGCAAGACTTTATAGACCAAGTAGAATAATATGATAAGGAAATATCAGTTTGCAACATCAAACAGCGAAGCGAGCAGTTTTTAATGTCTAAAAATTAATGGAAGAGAATGAGACAGGAAGTCTCGAGACGAAAAGATTCAAATGTCTGCGCCTGCTCATCGGCGAAGAATAAGATGATTACATTTGACTAGATATTTTGCATGATATTAGTATTCAGCTTAAAGTCCAATGTAAAGGCTTAACTAGATTAATTAGGCAAGTCATTGGACAACAGTAGCCTCGGACAGTGCTTAATTTGTAAACTGCGAGGTCCTGGAACAGATCAGGGTAACCGATCCGGCATGTCACCAGAGGAGGGAGAGGTGTCCCGGATGAAAGAGAAGAGCGAGCGTGGTGATATAAAGAACAAAAGTTAAGAGTGAAGGGCGGGGGGGTCGCGGACAAAAAGTGAAGAGGATTTGGGAGTTGCGAGGGAAAAAGTAAAAAGCAGGACAGGGCTGGGCTGGGGGTCGTGTGAGGAGGGGGATAGGTAAAATGTGGTGCCGAATCAGATTTCAGAGGTGCCGGATCTGCCTTTTCCGGCACAGATTAAGCCCTGGCCTCAGACTTGGAGGTACTGATTCTTATCCCAGCTACGTCACACTCGGTAGCAAACCGATGTCCGATGAAGCCAACAAAACATCATCTGCGAATAACAAGAGATGAAATCCTGTGCTCCCTGAACCAAACCAAGGCCATGGTGCTCCACTGGAAAACGCTGGCTTGCCAATTCCAGGTTGGAAGAAAGTCTTTACCCTAGGTGGAGGAGTATCTTGGCTTTTTGTTCATGAGTGAAGGAAGGATGGAGTGTGAGATTGACAGGCGGATCAATGCAGCAGCAGCAGTAATGCGATCGATGTTACGGTCCATTGTGGTAAAGAAGGAGCTGAGCCAAAAGGCAAAGCTCAAGATTTACCGGTCAATCTACGCTCCTACTTTCACCTATCGTCATAAGTTTTTGGTCATGAATGAAATACTATGATCTCGAATAAAAGAAGTCGAAATGGGTTTCCTTCATAGGGTGGCAGGGCGCACCCTTATAGGTAGGGTAAGGAGCTCTAACACCCGGGAGGAGCTCGGAGTAGAGCCGCTGCTCCTCCACATCGAGAGAAGTCATCTGAAGTGGCTCAGGTAACTGTTTTGGATGCTTCCTGGATGCCTACCTAGGAAGGTGTTCCAGGCTTGTCCCACCGGGAGGAGACCTCAGGGAAAACCCAGTACACACTGGAGGGACTATGTCTCTCGGCTGACCTGGGAACGCCCGAGATCCCTCCGGAGGAGCTGGAGGAAGTGTCTGTAGAGAGGGAAATCTGTGGTTCTCTTCTGAGACTGCTGCCCCTGCGACCCGGCCCCAGATAAGCAGAAGAAAAATATAATATTAAATACTGTGAACATTTTCGTTGCTCTGTTAAACATAATTCGGGAAATTGAAAAGAAATGAAAATTTCATAATTGTAATATTTTTTTTCTTCAACTGTACCTTCTGCACCAAAACACATTCGGTTTTGTTTTTGATATTTTCAGTATCTTGACTATATTCACTATTATATGTCAGCATTTTATTTTTCAGTTTGATGTTTGATGGTGTTTTTAGATCTTTTTAGATGGACTGCAGGGATTTAATAATCAAAAGTAATGTTTGAGTGGACCAAACTGTTAATATATGAATGCGGGATTTATTCATCACTCATATGATTGATCTTTTCTTTATATAATGATAATCTAGATTCTCCAGCCTGCATGTCATTAAAATACGGCTGTAAAGCTCTTTTGAATGTGTTTGGCTGATGTTTGGGTTTGTTTTATTTGATCATATGAGCGATGAACTGATGTTTAAGAGTGTTAGAAGTGCAGTGCTGTGAAACTATGTGCTTTTAAAAGTCGTAAAGTGTATTTTTCTCACCAGTCACCCAGAATTTAAATCCACTTTTTGCACAAAGATGTCAAGTAATTTGTATTTTTAGATGGAAAAAATAATTGAGGGCTAGTTGAAGGCCATATTTTGATTCTTGTGAATGTGATCATTTCAGGACTGCGCTGCGCTTCATATTGCATTGTTTATTAGAGCACAGATTTCATATGAAAATACATATTTGCTTACATTAGAGATGTGGCAAAAAATTGTTCGAGAAATTGATTCTTCGTCGATTTTGAGATTTTCAAAATGCATCGATATTCTCTCTTGAATCATATCTGAGCTTAGTTTTGAACAGCAGATGGTGCTCTAGTCTAGGCTAGTTGAACAGCAGAAGATGCTCTAGGCTAGTTTTGAACAGCAGATGGTGCTCTAGGCTAGTTAAACAGCAGAAGATGCTCTAGGCTAGTTTTGAACAGCAGATGGTGCTCTAGGCTAGTTGAACAGCAGAAGATGCTCTTGGCTAGTTTTGAACAGCAGATGGTGCTCTAGGCTACTTTTAAACAGCAGATGGTGCTCTATGCTACTTTTGAACAGCAGGTTGTGCTCTAGGCTAGTTTTCAACATCAGAAGATGCTCTAGGCGGGTTTTGAACAGCAGATGGCGCTTTAGGTTAGGTTTGAACGGCAGATGACGCTCTAGGTTAGGTTTGAAGAGCAGAAGATGCTCTAGCTAGTTTTGAACAGCAGATGGCACTTTAGGTTAGGTTTGAACATCAGATGGCTCTCTAGGCTAGTTTTGAAAACCAAATAGCTCTGTTGGCTCTAGGAGCGCTCTAGGCTTTGCTAGTTTTGAACAGCAGGTGGCACTCTTTTGAACAAGCTCAGAATTAATACAAAAAAGAATAGTAATGCATTTTGAAAATCTCAGAATCTATGCACAACTCATTTCTTGAATGATTTTTCATCACAGCTCTAGCTCACATGTATATATTTTTCTTTTCAGTGATATTTAAAATGCATCAACACTGGCAGGTCAAAGACACTTTGAATGAGCCGTGACACTTCTTGAATGTTTATTATTTTAATAACATCTGCTCTGGTTTTATCTTAATAACTGGCTGCCTATTATGTGGTCTTAATTATTTGTTTGTTTAGTTATTCACTTGCTTGTGATTTCATTCAAGGAACCTCATTCTGTTAAAGGCTACAGACATTGAATGAATATGAAATATGCTAACTTGTTGATTTTCTTCAGCAATGTTTACATTTCGACCACTGTATTTGTACATGAGAACGTGCACAGGTATATTTTCATCTGCAGAACAGAAATATTCCAATGCATTGCAGTGAATAAACTATGTTTGAGTAACTTTGTCCTTTGGTTTTGTGTTCATAAATCACAATGCACCCATTTAAAGGCGCAGTATATAATTTTACCAGTAGAGGGCACGTATTCACAACAAACAAAGACATATTACTTGTATTATGCTGGATTATTTCTCTGGATTTGAACATTCTTCAAAACATTTTTAATAATGTTAGTATAAGTCAAAACATATAACAAAATCAAAACATATATTACTGTTCTTTTTAGTGTGTGGATAATTTAATAAAAAAATCTTACATACTGTGGCTTTAAAAGAATGAATCTGCAACCACTGTAACCATATTAACTCAAGTAATGCGTGCTGTTTTGTACCAGTTTAATATTATAGTAACAACCCCACACTTTGTAACCGATATTTGTATTAACATATGGGACATAACTGGTCATTTCCAGACTCGATATAGGTGGAGTTCCTGTCAAGACTTATGCTGGTTGTCTAGTAAGAGTTCATGGACCATTATAAGGGATGTAAACAATAACGATGGTCTTACCATATTTCCAGGGGGTTGTTTCATAAATGCGGGGATTAACGTCAAAACCCTGACGGTCGAGCAAAGATACATTAATTATGGCAACGAGAACTGAAAGAGCTCTAAAATAACACCCAGCTGTTCACAGCGAGTAAGCAGCGTTTGTTTTTAGAGTTCAAACATATAATAGTTAAAACATAATAATCAAAAACTACAATACAGCTTGCAACAAAGCAAGAGAGAAGGCTGACAGAAAACTGCAGATTTTAAAATACTATTAAAAATATAAAAATAATATTTTTAAAATACATTATTTAGGCCTATTAACATTAAATTAATATTTGAGAGAATGCGCACTTAGCCTACTCCCAATTGTTGCTTGCAAGAAAAAAAGTTAAAGCAATGCAGGCTTCCTGTAACATTCACAATGTGCTTAATGTCACCACACTCAGTTTAAAATGATGGGTACAAAGAGCCATGCATGCACAAGCGGCGGGATTTTTAATTTGCTCCCGAATCCGCTGCAAATTGCTGCTTTCCCTTTGACACTTGTGTGTCCCGCAGCCTATGTGAAAATATTTTAAAGTGAGGCTACTGCTCGGCCCAGATCCATCTCCCGATTATTTCATTCAGGGTTTACAGCTTCAAAGTCATTCTTTAAAAAAATATAGCCTGCTTCTTTAAATTAGTCAGTGCTTATATATATAGCTGAGTAAACACATCACAGATCTCTCTTTTAAATTATTATTTTATTAATATTAATAATTAATATTTTCTACAGGATGCTTTACAATAATATCTATCTGCAAAAAGCAAAAGAAAAATTTGGAAATTATCTAACAAAAAATAAACTGAAGATTACAGTCCAAAAATCAGTACACCCTAATTAGTATGTCAAGAGGAAAATATTAAAGAAAATTTTAATGAACAGAAAAAAAAATCAACAGAAACATAAAAAAACCTATAAAATTGAAATGTTGGAGTTGTATTTTTTATTTTTTTTTGCAATAACTTATTTGAATTTAAATGTAATATGTATTAAAGATGTTTGGTGTATGTATATATATATATA